GGGGGCGGTCGCCGCCTGCGCCGCCCCTGCCCTCCGGCTCTCCCGCGATTGGGCCGGGTGGCAGGCGCCCCCGCGGGGATTGGCCGCCCCACTCCAGTGCCCCGCCCCGCAGGCCCCCCCTGATGCCGCGCCGCGGGCTCCTGCGGGGGCTCTGCAATTGCAGTGTTTCTGGGTCCGAATGTCGTTTTTCACTGAAGCACACAGGGGATCTGTTGCGAAAGTACCATATTTGGGATGCAGCTCCCTGTAGCATCCCGGTCAGCTGGGCAAGTGCCCTAAGAAGAAACACAGGAGAGGGGGGCGGGGTAAGGGGCCCCCGGGGAGGGCGAGCACGAGAGAGTGCTCCTAGCGAAGAGTTAGCCTGAGGCTGGAATGTGGTCGCTGGCTCTTCCTCTTGGTGGAATTATTTCATCTCTGTGCACCTCCATTTCTTTATCTGTCAACGGGGATAACAGTCTTACAGGATTGTTATAATGAAACTCTCAACCTGTGTATACAGCATAGCCCTGGACCATAGGAGCGACTGTGAACGCCCTCCAACAAGCCCACCAGGAACACACCCGAAGTTGAACGAGTTGGATCTATTACTTCTTGTAGCGAGGAGAAATGCATACAGGGGGAACCAGGGGGGGGATGTCGGTAGAAGGAAAAGCATTTAGATGTTCTCTCTTATGGGCAGGAACAATTACTATGCAATACACTTGCGTGCTTTGCTGTCCCTACTCTTCCGCATGAAAAAGAAAACCAAGACTTCATTTATTCTGATGCATATCTCTATGGAGATAACAATCACTATGCAAGTCTTCCCCCCCCCAATTAATGTTAACTGCTTGTGTAGGTATTAAATTAAAGAAGCCTTAACCAACTGTAACTTGGAATCTGTCACTGTACTGGGCACTGTGAATGAGACAAAAGTTAACACACTATAGTTAATTATCAAAGAAGTTTCCATTTATTTGGTAAGAAAAGATGGAAACATATGAAAGGAATAAAAAAATGATTCTAAAGCCAAGTCTATGGAAATCATCACAGAACAGTAACTACATTCCCCTACTACTGTTGTCGCTCCTTACAGGCTCCTGCTCAAGCCTTCTTCCCTCAGAGACTCTGAAATGGGAAATCAAGTCTCAGCACGGAAGGAGGAGTGACCACTCCTCAGGCGCAATCTCCCTGGCAGTGTTTCTGAAATGAAGGTCAACAGGTGGATCTCCACGGCAAGGTCTCCAGGAGGATTTTGAAATTTTATGGTTTCAGTTCAACGACCTAGAGAGGTTGTTTTTTTTGCTGAGGAAGGTTTGTCCATTGCCAATCCTCTTTTTTTTGCTTGAGGAAGATTATCCCTGAGCTAACATCTGTGCCAATCTTACCCTATTTTTTTGCACCTGGGACACCACCACAGCATGACTGGTGCGTGTTGGAGGTCCATGCCCAGGATCTGGGCCTGTGAACCCGGGCCGCCCATGCAGAACACACGGAACTTGAACCACTCTGCCATGGGGCCGGGCCCTGACCTACAGATTTTAACGTAAGCATATTCTGAATTATCTTATAATCAAGTACTGACACTTGATTTCTGTGCCTGTATAGTCCTCCCTTGGTATCCTCGGGGAGGATTAGTTCCAAGACCTCTGCGGATGCCAAAAGCCGAGGATGTTCAAGTCCGTTATGTAAAATGACGTATTTGTATATAACCTACACACATCCTCCCTTATACTTTAAATCGCCTCTAGATTATTTATAATACCTAATACAAGTGCTATGTAAACAGTTGTTATACTCTATTGTTTAGGGAATAATGTCAAGAAAAAAAGTCTGTGTGTGTTCAGTACAGACAGAACTATGTAGTAAGCCTTTCAATCCTAGGTTGGTTGAATCTGCGGATGCAGGACCTGCGGTTACGGAAGGCCGACTGTATTTGTATTTCTGCTTATAATCACATTGGCTCCAAGAAGAAGTACTTTAATAATGTCAGACTAAAGAGAAAAGAAGTAAACTAAAGATATAAATGATATGCCCAAGCTAAGTGAAGACCAAAAAATGTCATATCGCATTGTTCAAAATAAGTTTTCATAGTGCTCCAGTAACAAGTGTGGGAGAAATGAGTCAGGACCTGACACGTGAATAGACGTCGTGAACTCAAAAGAACCCGTGCTGCACTGGGCAATGCCAGAGTCAAGTGGCAAGGCCAAAACAGAATATAGTAGCTTCAAGAAGAAAGTGGCTTTTTTTGCTTCTGATGAAATCACCAAAGTAGCATGTGATGAAAAGACTGCAGTAACACCAATTACTGCTTAGTAGGTGACTGTCAATACTGCTGACAAGAGTCTAAGGATACGACTCCAGGCACAAGTTATTGAAAGGAAATGTAATCTGATCATATGACCTTGGTCAATAATCTGCAAAAACAGACCTGAATAGGTCTTATCTATCTGAGAAATTCATAACCTGACTTCAATCCTTGTGTTTCTTGACCCCTGTTGCCTTGGACGCTGTTAAACAAATTCCTCGTTTTTGAATTGTTCTGTCTCTTTGGGTTCCGTGGCACAGCTCTGTCTTTCTACTACACTGAGAGCTCCTTCTCAGTTTCCTCCATGGGCTTGCTTCTCAAGTTCCACCTCAGGCTCCATCTCAGCTCCCTTCTTCTCCCCGGTCAATCACATCCACCCTTGTGACTCACCTACCACAAATATACCAGTCATCCCCAAATCTCAAGCTCACTTGCTTCTCTTGAACTTGACACCCAGAGCTTCCATCTGAGTATTTAAAAAAAACACTGCAGGGGCCTGCCCGGTGGCGTGGTGGTTAAGTTTGCATTCCTCTTTTGTCGCCCGGGGTTTGCAGGTTCGGATCCTGGATGTGGACCTATGCACTGCTCATCAAGCCATGCTGTAGCCGCATCCCACATACAAAAAATAGAGGAAGATGGGCACAGATGTTAGCTCAGGGCTGATCTCCCTCAACAAAAAGAGGAAAACTGGCAATGGATGTTAGCTCAGGGGCCAATCTACCTCACCAAAATAAAAGAAAACAAAACCACTGCATGCTTTTAAATGTCCAAAACAGATATCGTTGTCCTTTAACTCCGATTCCCTTCAGAAATTCCTGTTTCAGTCAGTGACATCACCTGTCCAGTCAGCAAAGCCAGAGACCCAGGAACCGTACCTGCCTTTTTGGACACCAAATGCTGTAGCTTTTACATCATAAATATAACTAGTATTCTCTATACCTCTTTTAGGTGTGTGGCTGTAAGGCAAGTGGGCCCCTGGATTCAGAGCAGTTGGGCTGAACAGATCTTATTCAGCCTGGCTGAGGTCGGGGCTTTGTCTTGCCATCAGCTTATTGGTGAGTGGAATTTGAAGGTTGCAGGAAAGGAGGTGGGTAAATATGCAAAGGGACCAAGGATTTCCCTGTAAGAGGGAAGACGAAGGAGTTTTTAAGGAGAAGCTTCAATCTGTATATGGGCCCTAGGGAGGTAAAATGTACCCTCTTATCTTTCCATTCCTGCAGCTGCTCCCGTCATTACTCACTCAGTCTGTACTACTCACGTCCTCCAGGACATTGCTCTCCCTGAGGTTACGAAAGCAGGGCAGCCACGCCACTGCCTCTGCTCTGACACCTCTGACACCCTGGGGAGCCGCAGCCTTAAAGGAAAGGAGATATCACTTGTCTTGTCAGCATTCATGCCAATCCTGGTCAACTGGATTATGTTTTACTTTATTTCTATGCCCCTGTAACTCTGATAATAGACAGATTTGAAATACACAGAAAACCTTCAGGTAATCAAAACATAATCTGCAAGTATTCAGAACATAACTAAACAGAATCTCTGTTAATGGGCTTTTTTTTTTTTTAATTTTTCTTCCCCAAATAATCTGCTACCCCTCTGTATTCCCTATCTAGCATCCCACTTCTCACCCCAGCCAGACCCAGCCTCGTCTTTGACTCTTCCCTCAGAGCATTCCCTCCACAGGTGTTCATTTGGACCTGCTTATTGTGCTTTATATCATTCAACAGAAATGTACTGAGGGACTTCCGATTTCAGCTCCAAGGTGTAAAGAGCCTCCCATCCTCAGAGCACAAAAAGCTGAAGGAGCTGGAAATTTATGCTTTATCTTGGACCCATCAGAGACTGAGATCGAGGGGCACAGCTACACCCCATGGTCTGGAGGGACAGGCGAATCCAGAGTCACAGCTGAGATCTCCTTCCCTGTACAGAAGGGGCTGGAGCCACACGCTGGCAGAAACACTTAGACGGCAATTTTGATAAATTGCTGGAGGCCAAGTGTGGACTAGCCTGAGAGTAAGAAACTCCTGGGGTCTGCTGCCTAGTGGGGGCTCCACACTTTTGTGGGTTTTATCTCCGGGAACACCACCAGGTTCTCACAGTGAAGCTGGGTCAAGAATGACCCCCTCATGGCTCTGGCAGAGGGAGGGGAATACTTACCATTTTGAAATATGCCTAGGGCATTCTCATAACAAAGGCCTACTCTCCAAGGCAAAGGCTCATCCCACTGGGGGAAGGGCATTTTCCTGACTCTAGCTCCCTCTGTACTTCCTGTCTCACCCAAGGGAGGGGAAAAAAGCTAATACATGCTTGTGAAGGTCACAGCCCAGGGACACAGGTCCACTAAAAGACTGATATTTAGTTATAAGATTATATAAGGATGCTTCACCTCCCCCATACCGTACGACCACCAGCAGAGCTCCAGTGAAATAACAGTAGATCACAGCTGAAAGAGCAAGGCACAGACTCCACTTACTTTGAAGTCTCTGGCACCTGCAGCTACAACAAAGTTGAATACAGCCTAAAACCCTAGCCGGAGCAACATAAAGCTCACACTAACAGCCTATCTACCTCAGTT